CAGGCTCTCTCTACATAGAGCTGGAAGTCCTAGAACTCACTATGTAGACCAGGCTGACCTTGAACTTACAGAGGTCAGTTTGTTAGATTAAAGGTGTGTACCACCACACACCCTCCGACTTGTTTGTTTGTTGTTTGTTTAACCACTTCCTAACCTAGTGAGTAGACCTGAAGGTCAGAGCAGAAGATTCATTAACATCACATTTTTCACTTCACGTAGCCTCATGCTTAATTACGAATCTCGAATTTGAATTCAGGAAACACGGTGAATCATGCAAAAGGAACTAAGCATGGCCTACAGCCTCTGTCACGAGGGCTGTCCTGAAAGCCTGGCTTGATGATGAAGGTCTGTAATTCCAGCTACCTGAGAGGCTCAAGGGAAGGATCACAGGTAGCCCTGCCTGGGTTACAGAGATCTGTTTTAGGAAGCAGCCGCTGAAACAAGTATTTGACCATACAGTTCTAGAAGCTCAGACCCCTGCACTTGTAGTCAACTTCTCCAGTCTTATGAACCAGGGTCTGGCTAATATTCTCAAGTCACATACTGTGTACTGCCTTGTGAAGAAACTGTCCAGGAAGGGTATCACGTTGCTGTTTATTTTGGTCATGTGTCCCTTTAGGTCCTCTTAAAGCTATTTCTGGGTTAAGCCCATGAACTTACACCTCACCCTACTGACCTTTTACTGAGCACCTTGGCTAGGGCCAGAAAACTTGATCTGAAATGGCATCAGTCAAGCCACGAGGTTTTACTGTATGAAGCACAGATGGCTGGTGTGAACACAGCCTCTGCAGATATGAGTTGCCTTGATTAAAAACTCAAAGGAGACATTTGTCTTATGTAGGTATTGGGGGTGGGGGCATCACACATGTGTGAATGCATGTGTAGAAGCCAGGTGTCCACATCCAGTGTCTTCCTCAAACACTCCCCACCTTGTTTTCAAAGACAGAACTGCCCACTCAAACTGGAGCTCGGTGATTAGCTAGACTAGCTGGCCAGACAGCCCCTGGGATCCTCAGAACAAGAAGAATCAGGGTTGTCTGGTTTCCCTGCCCAGCATCCTAAACCAAGGTACAGATCAATTATTTTTGGCTGCTGAATATTACAGACCAGAGCTTGTAGCAAGAAGAGAACAGGACTTTAAAGTATCAAGGCAGTCTTACTCACACTTCATTGCATTTATGTTTTGTTTTCCCCTGAAATTTTGTTTATGTTGCTATAATGTACATGTACATTTTCAAGTGGTCCCAAATGCCTTCTTCTCTTCCCAGCTCCAATGCTGTGACTGAGTCCAGGGGTTTGATATATGCTGGGCAAACTTACATCAGTGAGCTACATCCCAATTCACGTATTTATTTATCAATCTACCTATTTGTTTATGACAGGGTCTCACTTAGCCCATACTGGCCTCAAACTCCATATATATAGCAGATACTGCTCTTGCATTCTGCTGTGATTATGGGTGTCACCACAGTTGCTTTCCCTTTTGCCCACTTTTATTTTGAAACACAGGACTAAGTTGCCAAGACTGGCTTCAAAGTTGCAAGTCTCTTGCCTCAGACTCCTGAGTATCTAATAAGAATGAACCACATGTGACTGGAAAAACATTTATATCCTGGGCCATCACGAGTCGTTATCAAGCCCTCCAAATCCACAATGTAAGGGTTTGTTTCTAGGATGTGAATGCAGGAGTCACCAGAAGGCTGCCTTTGCTTCAGGGACAAGTCTTCCCTCTTGGCTTCCCACAACCTTTATCTTACCCTACTGCACTTCCTTTTCTACAAAACACATAGGAAATCTTTTTGGTAATATATAGCCTTTCGAAAACACGAAAAGTGGACATGGAGAGATGGCTCCGATGGTAAAGAGCTTGCTGAGCAGTCGTGAGGACCTGAACGAATGAATAGGATCCCCAGCCTCCCTATGAGCAGTGGCTCCCACCTGCAGACAGGGGGATCCAGGACAGCTAGTCTGGCCAACACTGAGCTCCAGTTTCAGTGGGTGATGCTGTCTTTAACACCAAGGTGCAAAGAGCCAGGTGGACATGATAGAGCCTATGCCTTTAATCCCAGAATGCAGAGGCAGAGGCATCTCTGAGTTTAAGGCCACCCTGGTCCACATAGTGAGTTCTAGGACAGCCAGGGCTACAGACTGAGACCTTGTCTTAAAAACAAAGGTGGAAAGTGATTAAGAAAGATGGGTGTGGATTCCTGACCTACACACACACACACACACACACACACACACACACACACACACAAAGAGAGACAGAGACAGAGACAGAGAGAGCAAATAAGAAAAGACAACGGATATTGCTCAATCTGGGCAAAGTTGTGATCTTTATGAGTTCTTTAAAAAGCATTAATGGGCCTGGTGAGAAGGTTCGGAAGAGCACTGGCTGCTCTTCCAGAGGACCTAGACTCAATTCCCAGCACCCACAGTTCACAACTGTCTGTAACTCCAGTTCCAGAGTATCTGATACCTTCACACTGGTACACATAAAATAGAGTTAAATAAATTTTTAAAGAAAGCCTGGCAGTGGTGGCACACACCTTTAATCCCAGCACTCAGGAGGCAGAGGCAGGTGGTTCTCTGAGTTCGAGGCCAGCCTGGTCTACAGAGCAAGTTCCAGGACAGCCTCCAAAGTTACAGAGAAACCCTGTCTTGAAAAGCCAAAAAAGAAAAAGAAAAAAGAAAAAAAAACATTAACAAATTGCACAATTTATTAAATTCATGTGTCCCAATATTTTTACATGTATTAGAGCAAGCATGTTAATCAAGCAAAACCAGTTTTAAAAACTGTGTCCCTATAATACAACACTCTGTCTAGGAGGCTTTTAAATTCAATTAAAAAAATAAAAATTCATCATTAAAATTCCTTTTTTGCTACCATCCCACTAAGTAAACACATACCAAGACGGAAGACATTTGCAATGCTGTCTAGATACACTTTCCTCTTCTTTTCCTCTGTAGTCCTGGGGGCTAAATACAGAGGTTCACCAGGCTGTCTCCCCCACACACACACTGTGCTCATTCCCAGCCCCCCAAGGTATCTCTCAGGGGATGCAAGGGAGAAAATGAAGTACAATGAACTTGACCAAGACGGTTTCTCTTTATCCCCCCCAAATTGAAAGTCAAATTAAAACAAATATAGACAACTTGTCTGCATATAGTTGTTTCTAGAATCCAGTATCCAAAACTGAGTTCACAAGAGTAGCTGGGCAGATACCCAAAGCCGGGGGATGTGAGAGATAATATTAGTGGAACCAGAATTGAAGGCATTGGCCAAATGCCAGACAGATGAAAAGGGATGAGGTCAAACACATAAAAAATATCACCCGCAGTAAGAAAGGCACACAAGGAATCCAGAAGGTTCAAAAAGGTGATCCAACAAGGTCGAATGTCAACGATAAAAGCAAGCAGTCACTAAGCAACAGGCTAGGGTGATTGACAACTGTGTGCCTTTTGTTTTCAGGAGGTTTCGTTTTACTGACTGGTAGAGGTGTTGAGGTGTTAGGTGTTGTGGGGTCATATGTTAATTATTATGAAAAAAGAAATCAAAAACCCGAAGAATAGTATCAGCCCTTAGTCAACTCCAGGGCACACAGCAGAATTAGCTGCCTGACACTGGTTGAGACAGAACCCTGAATTTGATCATGGATCATGAAATAGACCTTTGAGGAAGTCTTGATAGCTGTGTTATAAAAGAGAATGGGAGTACTGTTCCAATTCTTGGTGAGGCGAGCAGCCAACTTCTTACTGAGTTCAATCATCAAGCGAAGCTTAGAAACAACACAACACACTCCCTGAGCTTCGCTCAGAACTTCTAAAAGCCAGGAAGTGTGAGCTTCCTACTCATCCTTCCCACATCTGAGCCCCTGCACCCCCTTCCCTATGCGGTCCCCAGAAGTGGACATGACCTAAATCCATCAGCGACTTTGTCCTGGGACATTCCTTTCCTCTACAGAAAGCTACTGCTCTGAAGAAATCTGCTTTTGAAATCCAAATGCAACTTCCTTTCCACATTTCCTCCTTCTAGCCCTTCAAATGTGAGGGCTTGGCTTCGAAGCGAAAGCAACCAGGGGGAAGCCCCTTTGCATCTGCCCCCTCCAGCTGCCTTTAGAGTCTCATACCTTCACAGGCCAGAGGGGTTCCCGCACTCCCTTCTGTCCCCACTGACAGATCCAGATAACTCAATCACCTCCTCCAACATCCCCACCCCCCACCTCACTCTGACCCCCATAAACACGGTTTTCCATTGATAAAACAATGGACTGGAGGCAAGGATATCCTAAAAACACACACTAGAAACAAAATAAGAATAGAGGCTTGCTTCAGATATTCATGTGCCTATTCACATACTGGGTCTCAAAGTAAAACCTCGCTTTCTGATGTCGAGCCCCAGAAGTCTGGAACACTGCTTCAGACAGGCCTGTGACATTGGTCCAGTTGTTCAACAACTCCTTTCTCCCATGAGGTTCAAGCTCCGAGCAGATGTGCAGCTATCTTCTTCAGGGACTATTTTCAAGAATACTAGCCTCTTACACTGCTTTACAAGCTCCTTACATACCCACAGGGATTACCTCTTCCTAAATACACCCACGTTTTCTGAACAAAGAAACCCCTTTTCTATTTCTGCTTTATCCTAGCTTCTCCAGTCTAGGATCCTCTGTTGGCTGCACATTCAAAGGCCTTCCGAGGAACAACCGGCCTTGGAGCAGCAGGGCTCCCTTTCTCAGTGGGCCACCTTTCAACCTTAAAAGAAAAACACTGCCAAGGTACCTCAGGCTGCCTTATAAAACCACTCACTTTCCTGACGTCATGTGTTCATACAAATAGTGTCATGGTCAGTGTCAGTGATTACAGCTGTCCTTGCCATGGCAAGGACACATGGTGACTCCACAGCCACACTGCTCTCGTTTCCCCTCCTAGGGCAAGTGGAAGTGGGGACAGCACCAGGAAACTGCCCTCAGCAGGCGGGACACCTTCCTTGGTCGAGGACGATGACACAAGCTATCCGACATAACACTCTAACTTTACCCTCCGGCTGCTCTCCCTTGTACGTATGCCCACTGTTCTAACTAGTTCACTTTTCCTCAGAAGAATAACCCCCGTTTTCCGTATCTCAGGGTAGACAGCCAAGGTAACCCTTCTTGGTCTTCTTAACCTTCCAAGCAACACTAAAGTTCAAGTGAATTTTTAATCTGTAAGGCAGAGAACGCTAACATGGAAGCCGGTGGAGGGAAACTTGAGGTCTAAAGGGTTTCTTATGAACTAACCCTGTGTGGTGTCCTCTAATAAATGTAAGGCTTTGAGAAGAACACTGACAGAGCAGGGCATGGTGGCGCATGCCTTTAATCCCAGCACTCGGAAGGCAGAGGCAGGCGGACCTCTGTAAGTTCGAGACCAGCCTGGTCTACAAAAGCTAGTTCCAGGACAGCCTCCAAAGTCACAGAGAAACCCTGTCTCCAAAGGAGAGAGAGAGACAGAGACAGAGACAGAGAGAGAGAGAGAGAGAGACAGAGACAGAGACAGAGACAGAGAGACAGAGTCAGAGAGAGACAGAGAGAGAGAGAAGAATACAGACGTGCCAGGTCTCCCTTAGAGCACCAAGGGAGGAGAGTGAACAGGTCTGGTGACTGTAACACAGCTGCCTTTGATGCCAAGGGACAATAAATACTCCAAGAGTGACAGATCAACCTCTTTGTGCCCCAGCCCCTCTCCTGCTTCCCTTCAGGCTCCTCTGCTGCTAGTCCAGGACGGTGCCATCCCTGCCCACGGAGGTACTTCTTCCCCATTCCTGTGCAGGGAATGCTCCCACCTAACTGAACACTCGGTGGACTGTGGGAACCCATTCTCCCAGGGCTGCTGTTGCTAATCCACTGGAATCTCTCCAGTGGAGATTTCAGAAAAAAAAAACGACACAAGGCCAACTTTTGCATCTTTATTCTGTGTGTGGGTCTATTCAGAAAACCCTTAGCAAACCCATCTTCTCTGGTGCCTGGTGTTTCAACCTAGTCCCTTCCAAGTGACTGTAGGACTTCAATGGCAAGACCCATAATTCTTTTCCCCAAGTGGTGAAGGCTTCTACTGGGAGGAACAGAAACACAAAGCTAACAATAATGACTAAGCAACTGGGTCAAAGGCATCCAGCCCAGACAGATAAAACTCAAGGAAGACAAGACGACACAGAGAAGAGCCAAACGCTGGGCAGAGGCAGCGCGCTGAAAGGGGAGGAGTTGTAGGGATGGGGGCGGGGGCAGGAACACCTTCAAAACAAATCCTCTGGATCACCACATGGCACAGGAGACAGCAAGCTCTACATTTCTAATTTAGTTTCATCCATACAACTTAAGGAAGTTAAAGATCTTTAACCTGATAGAGCCCTTAAAAGTGGCAAGTGGGATTCCTGAAGTTATTCCTAGGAGCTACTTATAAAGGTAAGGCATGCTCCGCCTGGCATTACATGTTCACACACAAGCATTTTATCTCAAAATATCCCCACCCAAGATCCTTCTTTTAACTTCCTGACTATGTAAAGGTTTTATTAAATACAACGACAGACATTAATTCCCACCATCCACACACACCCTTCTACAATGGCATCTCAATTAATTTAAACATCAAATATCACTTTTTAATATTTTACAACTTTACATACATGTTCCCATTGACTTGCAAATGCAATTTTAAAAAATGCAGGCCAGCAAGTGACCCTTAAGTGAACTTGAACAACTCAAAACTACTTTCACACAGGCTTCCCTACCATCTTGGAAAGGTGGGAAAATACCAGCATTAGAGACCCCATTTTCCTGACAGGGTAAACGAAGGCGTTTAGTTTAATCCAACCTGTCAGGGGTTATAGTGGCTGGAAAGAGAAACCAACCCCCCACTCCACTAGACTCCAGCACTCAGGGTGGCTAAAAATGGGACCCACTTGAGAGCCGCTGGGGTAAATAAGAGCTACTTGTTTTAGAAAGAGGCTGAGGAGGATGGGGGGGGGATGCCACTTGATGCGCCCCACTGGGAGCTGGTCTCTTGCAAGAAAGCGTCCCCTGCAGACCCAGAGGTTGCACCCACCCTCCTTGGGCTCAGACCCCTTAGGCGCCGCTAGCCACGCTGGAAAGCCGGACCGAGCAGCCCGAGAGAGCCCAGTGGATCTCGGGGCGACGCGGGGGCCGCGGGCCGAGCACACCATCTGCTCCAAGCCAAGCGGTACCGGGCCGGCGGCAGGAAGGATGCTGCGCCGCCGCACACCTGCGGGAGCCTCCCGCGCGCTCCCACCCGCCTCGGGCGCCCAAGCTCGGCCGCGTTAGGCCGGTGCGACGCGGCGCTGTGGCCGAAGGCTGCGCTGGGCGAGGCCGCCCTCCTCCCGGATCCCGTCCAAACGGCGTCACCTGTGCCGGGTCCCGGGATGAGTCGCGCGGGCGGCGGCTGCGCCGGGCCGGGAGAGCACAGCCGGGCTCACAGGCGCCTGGTCATCCGGCCCGGCCCGAGGGCTGCGCCGGCCGGAGCCACGCGCGAGATGCTCGCGGGAGCCGGGGCCGCCTGAAGGAGCAGTCGCCGAGGCTCGCTCCGCCGCTGCCGCCGCGCCCGCCCGGACTGCGGGCTCGGGTTACCGCAGAGCGGCTCCTTAAAGGGGCCGCGGCCGCTCGGACTCGGCAGGCGCTCGCCGCGGCTCCGACCCGAGGCCGGAGTGGGCGGGGCCCGGAGGCCGCGCGTGGGGCCCGCGTCCCCGCGCTGGAACATAAATGTCGGCTGGGGCTCGGAGCGGCGAGCTTCGGCGGTGCGCTGCGACGGGGTTCCGAGAGCTCACCCCCCGGCCCGCGTGCAGCGAGTGTGCGGTTCGCGGGCTTTGCCAGCAAGTCACAGACCTCACAAGTATGGGAGTCCGCCCCCGCGGCGGTCAGCGCCCCGACTCGCCACGTAACCAAAAACCCTTTCCAATGCTTCTGACTTCTGCTTTATATGCCCAAGTGCTGGGCAAATGGTCGGCATGGTTTGCTTATCAGGAAGGGGATGAAAGGGCAATTGCTGATTTTTTTTTTCTCCTGCCACGTCTGACACGGCCAAAGTCGAGCCCCGCCCCGTTCTGGTTTGAAGCAGCAGGTGCGTGCCAAACCGGGTAGCTGGCGTGTGTGTGTGTGGGGGGCGGGGGGGTAAGAGGTGTGTTGTCTCCGAGCTGCCTCTTCCCTAACCTCTGGAGAACACCCTTGCAGGACCGCAAACAGTCTGAGAGTGTAGCTCCTGCCTAGCATGCCCAAGGCCCCGGATTCCATTTCCATGTAACAAAATGGATACAGTAGCAATCCACCTACATCCAGGACCCCTCTGCGTGCAGGATGGTTAAGTAGGACTGATCTTTTTTTTTTTTCTCTCTTACAGACTGAGTGTCACAAGTATGCCAAGTTCAGAAACTGTGCTTTTCTGACCTGCTGTAGCAATCAGACAAGAATTGCCTGGGAAAAAGTCAAAATAATAAAGTACATATAAGCTGCATAATTCGCAAAAGGCAGTCACAAGTCCTATTTTTGGAAAGAGGTAAATTCTAAATGAATTGAGTCATTTGAAAAGTCCACCACTAATGACATAGGGTAGTTGTTTGTGAGGAAGACCTACCAATAAAGCTTACATATTTGACCTAATATGTACACACCGCATATGTAGGACAGAAAATGCACACATGATCTCACACCGCATCTGTATTTATATTCAACAGGAAAGTAATAAAACTGGAATCCTGTTCAAGAGAACCTAGAATTCTTTTTACCAGAGCTGTCTTCAGCTAACTGGCCTCACCAAAGCTCAGTTTCTTCATCTATATAAATGCAACAGCAACTTGGTTATTTCTGAAAGCCCCAGGTCTTGGCAAAACCACAGAGAAAAACTCTGTCGGCCACAGGTTCAGAAAAACACAACCAGGAAAATTCCCATGTTCTGCCCAAGGCTCGCAGAGCATTCCAGGACAGCAGCGCTGTGACCACGCCTGTTTTGTCATAGATACTTCACAGCCTGCATAGCCCTTGACTGTTTTGCTTTGCTCCGTATCTGTTCCGTGTACTCATGTAGTTATCTCATAACTCCGTGGACTTGTGATGGTTACATGCACATATCTGTAGGGTTAGTCCAGATAGGACAAATTTCACAGTGCTATCTCAGGACTCTGTCATCTGCAGGCACTCTCCAAGCTTATCATTGTTGGTTTTCAATTGCTCTGTTCTCCCTTGATAAAAGCATCATTACCTTTGACATCTGTAATTCTCTGACTCCAACAGTAATAAGCAAACAAGCCAAGCAAGCCTGCAGGAATATACTGTACTTATGTCCCGCTATCAGTTGGGCCTCTATGAATGCGTCACCGGCTGCAGGAGTGTATGGGGATTACACGGACGTAGTGACTGTACTATCAACAAAGACTGAGATCTGAAAAGAGTTCAGAAAAGACTAGTTGAATCTCAAACTTATTTTCTACCCCTGTCCCCTGAGATAGCCCAGGCTGGCATCTAATTCATACAGGAGCCACTGTAATATACACCTAGCTTGAATATTCAAACTTTTTAATGAATTTTTTAAAGTCATTTTGGGAGAAAGTATCAACTGTATATTTTCTGAAATTTGAAATTTGTACGTAATTTAATCTCATTTCCTTTCCTTTATTCATCTTTACATCCTAGTTACTCTTTTTTGTTTGGTTTTGGTTTTTGGTTTTTTGAGACAGAGTTTCTCTGTGTCTCAGCTTTGGAGCCAGTCCTGGAACTGGATATGTAGACCAGGCTGGCCTCACAAAGATCCTCTTGCCTCTGCTCCTAAGTGCTAGGATTAAAGGTGTGAACTACCACCACCCAGCTAAATTCTAGTTACTTTTGTTTGTTTGTTTGTTTGGTTGGGTTTTTTTTTTTTTTTTTGGTGTTTTAAGACAGAGTTTCTCTGTGGCATTGGAGTCCGTCCTGGAACTAGCTTTTGTAGACCAGGCTGGTCTCAAGCTCACAGAGGTCCGTGTGCCTCTGCCTCCCGAGTGCTGGGATTAAAGGTGTGCGCCACCACTGCCTGGTGAAATTCTAGTTACTCTTAATAAAATTTCCTCAAAATTCTGGTTTACTATATTAAGTCTTCTGTATTTTTAATGTGTTGCATCAAGGCTAAGTTGCACTTTTTATGCTTTTGGATCATAGAAACAGTTCAAGAGAAGTAAAAGAATTCATCTACTCTTGAAAAATACATAAAATTTCCCCTAAATAATGCAAATTTCCAAAAAATTCTTACACTTCTAAATAGAACTGGTTGTAAAATTGTCCAAAAACTGCCTTAGTTCTCCTCTGACTGCTGGACAGACAGAGCTTAAATGATACCACACATTCCTAGAGCTAGGAATATGGCTCAGAGGCAAAACCCTTGCCTGGCATGTACAAGGCCCTGGGTTCATCTACAGCACAGGAGTAGGAGGGAGGGAGGGGAGAGATGGGTGGGGGTAGGGAGGTTGGTTCAGATAGTAATAAAAATGAGTAACTGCTTTAGAATTTTTAGCATATCAAGAATTTTTGCCAGATATTATGAGTATTTAAAAGAACTTTCAACTGTGTTTTAGGAAGAAACTATTTGAAGATATTAAGAAATGTTATCCTTCCTGGGTGGTAGTGGCATGCATCTTTAATCCCAGCAGTTGGGAGGGAGAGACTGGCAAATCTCTGTGAGTTCAAGGCCAGTCTGGTCTACTGATCGAGTTCCAGGACAGCCAGGGTTACACAGAGAAACGCTGTCTCAAAAAGCCAACCCAAACCAAAGAAACAAAAAAAAAAAAGAAATGTTATCCCTGTGGGGGAGATATTCTGGATAACTTTTGGATTCTTTTGCTTACATTATGTGTTTTTTCTCCCTGTATACATATATATTGCTTCTGTTTCCATTTTATTCTTTTTTTTTTTTTTTTTTTTTGGTTTTTACGAGACAGGGTTTCTCTGTATTGTTTTGGAGGCTATCGGTCCAGCCCGGCCTCGAGCTCACAGAGATCCACCTGCCTCTGCCTCTGCCTCCCGAGCACTGGGATTAAAGGCGTGTGCCACCACCGCCCGGCTCCATTTTATTCTTAACAAAAGCTTTATATATACATACATACATACATACATACATACATACATATATATATATATGAAATTTTTAAAGCTTCGGGTAAAAGCCATGACTTTCCACTTCTCACCTATCTTCAGCCATTCCTTAAGCCATGTATTCCCTATTATATAATACTATTCTTATACAGTTTCTTGATTTTTAGTTCTAGACTTTTTTTTTTTTTTTGGTTTTTTGAGACAGGGTTTCCAGGGTTGTTCTGTATTGCTTTGGATCCTGTCCTGGAACTTGCTCTGTAGACCAGGCTGGCCTCGAACTCACAGAGATCCACCTGCCTCTGCCTCCCCAGTGCTGGGATCAAAGGCGTGTACCACCAACGCCCGGCTGTTCTAGACATTACTGATTGACATCTTGTCACCGTATTTGAGGCTCTAGCTTTTTCCCACACCATTGCCACCACATCCCCCAACACCTGCCCTGCCCTGGCTCCCAAATTAGCCTCATCACAATCAATAAATGGTGATTAAGGTTTACATCATCCTGACCAGGACAACAGAGAGCATCAGCAAGTCAAGTATCGTGTGTGATAACATTTTTCTCGAATGTTTCTCCTCTGGAGTTAATAACCGGCCTTGCTTTTTTATATTATTTTTATGTATCTAACATAAATGCTATCCAGATTTCTTAACACATCCATCAAACACCCATTGGTAATGTCTTCCACCGCCCAAACGTGTCATTTTGACTCGCTTCTCGTTTTGCTGACGCACCAACCCAGCACGGTCTTTGGAGGAGCACACAGTCGGAAAATGTCTTTTTCTTGTTCTCCCAGTGGTGCTGAAACAACAGATGCCTCCACAGTCCCTAAGCCTCTCTGAATTCTTTTCCTTCCTAGACTTTCTCATTATGCTTGAAAGACTGAAACATCCTAACAATGTATCTTAGAATGAGTCTTTTTTTCATTGATTACATTGAACACTAAGGGGGTTTCCATCTTACCTATAATCTTTTCTTTCATTTCCTTGAATAGTTGCATGTCTGTTTTATTCTCTATATGTATTGCCCTTTCATCTGATTCTGAATCTAGCACTCACTTAAAAAGCTGAGTGTGCTAGCATACCTGCAACCTCACAGGGCAGGGTAGGCAGGTGGATCCCAGGGGTTCATTGGCCATATATTTTAGCCAAAATGCCAAGCAGCCGCTCCAGTATGAGACCCTGTCTCAAAGCAGTGGGGCAGAGAGCAGTAGAGAGTCAGCTTGGCCTGACTTCTGATCCCCTACGCACGTACACAGGTGAGCACACCCACACACAGAGATAACGTGCACTTAGGCATATGCACACACACAAACAAAGTAATCTACCCATCCGCCTTCAGCTCTTACATCTCAGTAAGCTCTTGCTGCAATCCTGGAGCCCTTGGGCCTTTCATATCAATGTGTGGATGGCTCCAGAAACCAAGAATGTCTACACTTTCCAACTTTGATATTTAACTTAGTATTTTGCAATTAACTTTTAACTCAGTTAATTTTCTCCTAATTCAGGTGATGACCTCAGCTGCTGCTAGCCTGATCTTATCTTTACTCTGTCTTTCCTGTCTCCCCATGCTCCCAAAGAGTATCTGGTATCAACTCCACCAATATAATAGCCATTGAGAACTCTCTTGAATCCCAGACCTACATTCCTAGTATGCTGCTGAGTTCCCAGATCCAACATAGTAAAATACAGAATGCATTATCCCTCTTCTCCATATTCTTCATTCTACCACCCAAATACTGCCCAATGCTGCTTAACTTCCAGGACCAGATGAGATGGGGTGCATTTCAGGGTGGCGCGGTGGGAAAACCGTACTCTTCATTCTCTAGTCTCTCTGCTATGGAATGAATCACTGTGTCTCTAGTCACCCAACTCAGAAACTTCAATAGTTGGGGGCCAGTGAGAAAGAGATGGCTGAGTGAGCAAAGACAGCTGCTGCCAAGCCTGACAACCCAAGTTCCGTCCTTGGGGCACCCATGGCAAAAGAGAGAACTGACTCCTACAAGCTGTTCTCTGAATGATGTGTGCTAGTCTCAAATTCACTATATAGCTGAGGGTGACCTTGAAATTCCCGTCCACCTGCTTCTACTACCAAGTGCTGGGCTTACAGGTTTGTGCAGCTAGACCTAGTTTATGCAGTGCTGGGTACTGAACTCAGGGCTGCCTTGCATGAAATTCCTCCATTCTTGCTCAGACCTCTCTCTACCATCACACCCTTCACATTCATGTTAGTTCTCCACTCCATCTACCCAACTCTGACTGCAAGTCTCTCCAGTAAACCTCTCGTCTCATCCTCATGGCTTCCCTCATGCTCTCTCCTTTAAAAAGCTGAGCAAGCTTGCAAATTGTTTTACACACACACATTTTATTTTTACTAGGAAACTGGTATCATAAAGATAGATGCTCAAAACT